GGAATTAAGGGAAAATGTATCCTTCTGGCAAAATCACAAATCTGTATGAGCTTGAACCAAGTTAGAAATAGTCTGGTTTTGTTCTAAACCTAACCATGCGCTGTTTTTAATCCTCAGAGGCTGCTCCATATGGTCTTGAGGGTGTTTGCTTGAAGGATGTGAATTACATAGCACTTTTTTTTTTTTTTGCAGTCTCATCTTATGTTCCGCTGTCTTTTCAATAGATATTGGAAAGATTTTAGACTTTATTCCTAGGTATATAGAAATTGCAGTACTGGATCGATAAGTAGTACAAGTCCTGTATCTTGTCACTGTGGCTGTCTTTCTGGATGTAAGGCAGTGCTGTTCTGAGACATGCGGTGCCTATTCAATCTGGTAACTCCTGAATTGGAAATAGTATAGCCATATTTGTTTGGTGCTGTTTGCATGTCAGTATGATCTGTGACACAGTAACATGCTAACATTTTCACATTACTTCTGGTTCAAGATCTAGCAGCCCTAGGTGTTTTGGTAATACCCTAATAGCAATCTGATACTTCAGAGCAGCTATAAGAAACCCCTTAGAGTACTTATGAAACTGTGTGAGAAACGGAAAAAAAAATCAGAAAGTGCCATGAAGCATCTCAGGAGTTGCTAATGTTTTTCTGTAAAACCTATAGTGAGAGGGTTACTTACCCCAAGTTTAAAGTAATGTGCATTTACTCCTAAAATGACAGAAGATTTTAATGTTCTCCTCAAACAGCTATTTTAAATTTACTGTACTCATTCCTTAATATGAAAAAAATACTGTACATACTTCTTGATGACTGTTGGTGGGTATTTTTTTTCCTTTGGATTTAAGCATCGAATGGGCTTCCTTGTCCAACAAACGTCACAGTTCATGCTTTGAACATGAAATTTCTTCTCAACTGGGATAATCACTACAATAAAAATGTGAGCTTCAACGTACAATATCTCAGGTAAGTTTTAATTAATCTTAAATTTAATGAATCTTATCCAAATCTGTGCTGCACATACAAGTCTTGAATCTTACCATTTAAATTGTCCTGGATTGGATGTTGGAAGCTCAGCATTTGTAGAAACTCTGAAAAGTGCCTACAGGCCCTTATTGAGGCAAATAACACTTCATTTAGTTGCCCGTTTGGTTGTTAAAAGAATTACAAAAATGTCTTAATTCTTAGGAATTCAGAGCACTTAGTTTCTCTATGCACTGCTAAGGAATAAGTTCCCAAATATGACTAAAAATGTTAATGTATTATGGTATGTCTACATTAAGAAAAATTATGAAATATAAGGGAACTAGCTGAGTTGATGTTGAGAATATAAACATGAAATGTCAGGGGCTTCAGATATTAATATTTATACATTATACATGTTCTAAGCTTTTCAGCAATTTGATATTAAGACACAGGCTTACAGCCTAACCATTTATACGTGCAGTATGAGCACACAAGTTGCTGTCAGTCTCAAAATATTTGAGTTTCTTAATTGGTACTTAGATTTTAAGTGAAAAGGTTGCACTATGCATATCCTCCATCTTTTATTAAGAATGACCATACCATAGAAAAGATTACATTGTCCTGGAGTTGTTTGAGCATATCAACAAAAAAAAGACTGCTGAGAACTGAAGAAGATCCTTATTTGGACTTCCAAGAAATATTTTGCATCAATGTCATAAATGTACATTTTTTGCTTGAGAAATAATAAATATATAAAGCAAAATGGGAAATAGATGTAGGCTTTAGTGTTTCAACTGTAAATGGAAGCTGTTGTCATCTTGATTTTAATATAAGAGCTTCATACTCATGTAGAATGTCTCTTCTAGTGGTTTTTATAAGCAATTTTATGAAGATTACTCAAATAAGTGGTACATTGTAGCTGGATGTGAAAACATCTCTCATACACAATGTGACTTCTCATCTAACGTCGGCGCTAGTGGAAATTACTACATCCGTGTAAATGCTACGAATGGATATAATAGATCATGTTCCTCAAAAGAAATAAAAGTGGATCCTTGTGTAATAAGTAAGTAGATGTATTTTTATCAATATTTTTTCACTTCACTTGTTTTTACTTTATGTTTGCATTCATTTTTCACCAATCTGTTCTTTTCATATCGTGTCGCTATTCTGATATTTGTCTTGGACAGGGGGCTTCGTTCTGATGTGACAGGGAAACAGGAAAATTGGAAAATCAGTCAATTGTGGAATGCTGTAATTAGGGGAGAACAGACTTCTTAACTGGTCTGACTCTCTCATGCACACATACAACCTAGTTTATACACTGAAGCAGGGGTTTTCAACCTTTTTGGATCAGTGTATCCCCGGCAGCTGGATGCAGAGCAGTATACTCCTGGTGGCCCGACACGAAGCAGGCGGGAGGGTGGCACACGGCTGGATGTGGAGCAGTGGCAACTGCCGCATGCGAGCTTCCCCTACCTCCCACGTCCAGCTGGGAGGGCAGTGTCAGCACAGGAGGGTACATGGCGGTGCTCTGTCCCTACTCACCTGCGTTTACCCCACTAGGGCCTTCAAAAGTACCCCTGGGGGTACACACACTCCTGGTTGACAACCCCTGCACTAAAGCATTATTTCTCAATTAGTGGGCTGTAACTCTAAGACAAGGTTCATGTGAGGAACTGAAAACTTATTACAGATTAGAACAAACTCTTGCTTCTCCTTATTCTTCAGGAAAGTGGTGTCAGCCTCATGAAATACAGATTCTTTTTTCATCATTCCATTTTATTTTACTGTCATAGTAAATGTGTGGAGTTATAAAACATAAGAGTTGCCAAGCTGTAAAAGTTGAAAAACATTAAGAATGGTATACTTTACTGAAGGTTAAATCAATACTTACTCCACATTTCAGACTATTCTTTGTCAGTATGTAAATCTAATAAATGGAGTCCACTGTAGTTCAGTGGTAGTAGAATTATTGTCTGCTACACAGGAGACCGAGGTTCATTTCCCGGATGCTTATACAGCTACATCTGTATACAGCACCAGATGTCTGGACTAGACTCAGTCTGGCCTTTGAATTGTGTCTCAGTGGCCTAAAGAGGGGATGGAAGGTCTGGACAGCCTCCTCCACTCCTCTGGGTATATGCGTTGAAGGTCTGATTGACCTTCGACACATAATCCGGAAGGGTTGATGCTTGTCAGGGGAAAAAAAATCTAATAAATAATTTCTTTTGGAAATTGGGCATTGCTTTGCTAGAATATACAAACAGTTTTCTAGGCTGGTTGTTATGGATGGAAGCAAAAAAATGATAATGCTTCTGACCATTTAGAAGTATAAATACCATTGTAGCCTTTGTTATTGTACATCTGCTGAACTAATAGCAGATATTGGTGGATTTCAGGTTGGCTTCCTGTTAGTGAAGAAATCTATTACATGGATGGGTGTTTTGTGGTTTGTTTGGGTTTTTGACCCAGATATGCTGGTCCTTGAACACGGATGGTAATCCCTTCTTTCCGCCCAAAGGCCGATTGTTAGGTGGTCTACCAAAGTCAAGGCAGCTACCAGCCAATTCTGCAGGCAGACTACAGGCCAGGCAGCCATTTTTGCAAGCAGGGTGCTGCAGGCCTCCAATGCCTCTGATTAGCCCCAGTGGCCCCACCTTTTGCTGCTGATTGGCTGCAAGGGCTGTTCATCATATGACCCTATCCCCCACTGCTGATTGGCTGCAGGAACTGTCTGTCATGTAGTCCTCACCACCAAATCAGCAGTGAGGGGCAGGGGTGGGCCCATATAATGGACAGCCCTCGCAGCCAATCAGCAGGGGGGAGGGCAGCCATCTTGCTGTGCTGGCCAACCCCCTTTCCTCCCCTCCCGGTGGACTGCACAGTTGGCTACAGGAACTGCTGGGAGCCAGCATTTTCTTTTCGGTGAGGTGGTTGTTGTTGTTGTTTTGTTGTTTTTCAGGGAGCCCACCAAAAGTGTGGACCCTGTGCTTTTTTGCCCAAAATTGTGGTTTCTGCAAAAAATGTGAAATAACAATTTTGGTAGGTTCTTACCAATCATCTGTTCCTATGAGGCAGTTCTACTAAGAATTGACTCTAGTTAGAGAAAGTAAGGCAGACAGCATGCTCTTTTGCTCTTGCAGCAGTTCCTGAAAAAGGAAATTGCATTCCAGAAGCAACAATATTCTTTGGGGTCCCCTTCCCCCATAAGAGTAGACCAGGCTTACAGACTTACAAGGCTATATATCTGACAGCACCCTTAGGTGACTCCCTTAGCAATATGATTCTAGCTAGTAAAAATGAATCATAGAATCATAGAAGTAGGGTCGGAAGGGACCTTGTAGATCTTCAAGTCCAACCCCCTGCCTGGGCAGGAGGAAAACTGGGCTCAATTGACCCCACTCAGGTAGGCATCAAGCCGCTTCTTAAAGACCCCCAGGGTAGGAGCCAGCACCACTTCCCTTGGAAGTTGGTTCCAGATCCTAGCCGCCCTTACTGTGAAGTAGTTCTTACAGACGTCTAATCTAAACCTACCCTCCAAGAACTTGTGGCCGTTATTCCTTGTTATCCTGGGGGACGCTAGGGGAAACAAGATCTCCCCCAAACCCTTCTGGTCCCCCCTAGTGAGTTTATAGACGGTCACCAGGTCCCCCCTCAGCCTTCTCTTGTGAAGGCTGAACAGGTTTCAGGTACCGTAGCCTCTCATTGTAGGGTCTGCCCTGCTGTCCCTGGATCATGTGGGTGGCCCTCCTCTGGACCCTCTCAATGTTGTCCACATCCCTCTTGAAGTGGGGTGCCCAGAACTGGACACAGTACTCCAGCTGTGGCCTGACCAGTG